GGAACTGCTTGATCATAGGGTCTCGTTAAATCACAGGGCCTCGACAAATCTGAGAGACTATATATATAATTAAACCAAAGAAGAGATGATGAAGACGAAGATGATTAAAGATGATGAATAGAACTGGTTGGTTGATGATGATGTAGTATGGATATTATACTGTGTTAAATCCACCATACTACTAGTTACTATTGGTTCTTCCTTGTGTTTACTGATCACATCCGTATCTAGAAAATAACAAATCATGTTATTGAACACCGTTACCACGGCAATCAAAGAAATTTTATGGTTGTTATGGAGAACTTTATGTTAAATACAATAAATGATTTGTTTGGTCAGGCATGAATTGATCTGGTTGTATCTCATGATTTTGACCTATATAGTAGTGACTGGTGTCGCGCGCAAAACAGATCATGCTTACTCCTTTCAAAACACCTGATGGTACTTCTGTTTCGAGGTGTCCACTACTATACCACCGATATTTTGTATAGTGTCCGCTATACCTATCCAAACTTGACTGGACTAATGAAGACGGTAGACGAGAAACATACCTATACAAAATTCAAGACTTAAGAATATCTAAGATTAGTCAAATAAAGAAAATGGCGGATGTCAAACCAAAATTAATGGCAGTAATGCAGTTTTATTGGTTAAAAATACATCATTAGTGCAGGTCTTTGATCGAAAAGTATTTAGATTACAACGTAGACTAACAATATCAGAATAACAAAAAAGAAACGAAATTGTAATTTAATTTTGATTAGATTTTTGAAAAGATAAGTCAATAAAGAAGAAAAAGACGGATGTCATGCGTAGTAATAGATGCAACTATAACTAATGGATAATACAAACTGTTATACGAACTTTCAGAAGTTGGTTTTCTGTTTTGTGAATCGCTATGGACTAAATATGTTTTGCCTGAAAACTATTTACGGCGATAAGATGGTACTAAATGGAATACATCTTACCTATAAATGTATATCCCCAAGCTAACTGTAGGAACCAAGGTTCATTCAGATTAAAGGTGAACTCCCCCATTTTCAAACTAGTTATTTTACGTCTTGTAAACCGACACCGAACTTTACCATCAGATTTCTGTACTGCCACGTTTGTTAGACCTTTCTGAAATAGGCAATGACTCTCATATGAAACATAGGAAATGTGGGCATCGGGCCGGTGTCATTTATTACGTACGGCCATTCTTAGAGGCCATCCTGCACCTCTCATTATATAACCATCGCCTCTTCGACACGTCTAGTACCATTATAAAAATATTTCCACCCGGTTTCAATTTTAGAAGTTTAACCTCGTATTTCAAACCGGACAATCAACACGTACGTAGCCATATTTACCTCGTATTTGGGACCAAGATTTCAAAACGAACAATCAACAAGCACGTAGCCATATTTACGCTTTGTTTTGTCAGTATGAACGCACAAAGAAATGAGATGAATTAGAAGCAATATTTATCGATAAGGTGGCTTGGGTGAGGTTTTACCATCAATGCCATGTTACGGGAATCAAACTAACCTATCTAAAAGTAAAACCCAAGAAACTCTCATATCTCCCTTCTTTATAAACTCATGATCCGATACTCTGTCTGACCAGACGTGCCGATATTGCATCGGGTTGTCATGTCTGAGGAACAGACAGTGCTAGATTTGTCGGGCTAATAAACTATAAAAACGTTAAATACAAACCGTATATTGTCTATCAACATAATGCTCTGAATTGTAGCCATATTGAATAGTGAACCTGCTTCCATCCGCTGTACATACTATACTTTCATCTTCACCCTAGAAAAAATGTATATACATCGATAAACTCCGGATAGATTGGTTGTATTTGCTAGCGTACAATCCAATCAAATCGCTGCATTTACAAACTTCTGTGACACACGAAAGGTAACTATTGCAAGGTATAATCGGTAAGTTCGTAATAGATTAACATTATGAAGATGTATGTACGTCAGCTGTACATAGTATACGTTCATCTGAAGCCTAGAATACACGACTGTATACCTCAATACTTCAATTCACATCTTAAAACTATGGCCCAACAAAACTGCAATATAGCCCTGCAAGTTCTTGTACACCCTTACTGTCTGATAGCTTTGGGCAAGCATTATATATAGCATAGCTTTAAAGTGGATACGATGGTAGTTAGACCGAAACATCTGTCTGTATTCCAACCTCTGATAGCTATTTTGAAAGTTGTCGACCAACCAAAAACATAATTGTCAACATATCTATTAAAGGCTGGAATAAATACGATGTTTCGGACTACATGGTATTGTGCAACCAGTGTAAAAGAAGTTATCATGTCCAACCTGTACGACGCTGTCTCAAATATCAAACATAAATTGACCTGGCTGTATCTCATAATGTTATCATTATAGTATTTGTGGGCGTCCATGGCCATGCTTACTCTTTTTGAAACACCTGATGGTACTGCTCTTTAGAGGACTTCACTTCTTTGCAACCTTTTTATGCCATTCTTTAGACGAGATTTTGATTTACGGAATTGTCTTTGCTTGTACGGATTTTTACTTATCCTTGTAACAAACAATATGTGGGATTTGTGGAGATCTAAAATTAATTGTAAAAAGTTTCAGATTCTGATAACTCATCTTACCATTTTCTTATCTTTAGATATTGCCATAGAAACATAGCCTTCTGCCTTTGCTTCCATCTCAAAAGTAAAGGTTCCATCAGAATTAGACTTGTATGTCAAGCCCGCACTGCAATCAGTACCAGTGCAGCCGTCTGGGTGATAGAAGCAACCATAAGACTCACCGCATTTCTCCCAGTTGATGGCAGTAAATGGTTGTATTGTTGGAAGCTGAAGGAGATAAGGAAATGAAATGAAACGCCCTACTTTTCTGCATTTGTTTCGATCTCTCGTACAGAGTTGTCGTTCCTTGCAGTGTCTTTCCAATGTCGACAACTCTGTACGAGAGAATGCACTTGTTTATACTGATTACGGTTAACGTGTATTGTGGGAGATTTTGCCAGCATAAGACTCTCTTTCTATAACCAAAAGTCGAGATATAAAGCCCTCAGAACACAGCGGCCTTGGTTTTGTTATCCGATGGACTACACGCTTTATTCCTCGACCTCGACGAATACATTATATCAAGGACTGACGATCGGAACTGAAAAACTGAACCCGAAATCCAAAACATCAGCGAAACGGATATATACAACATTACTAACCTGATAATCTGCCGTTTTAATCATGTCACTACTTGAAGCTTTCAAATCAGCTGTTATTCCGGTCCAAAATGTCGTGAAATTTTCTAGAAACGTTGCCCTGGGAATATTTTTAAAAGTTATATAAGCAAAAAAATATTTCCAAAAAGGAAGTCATAAATATCTCACTAGGGGAGATAATAGAATTTCATATCCATAATCTTCTTATTCATTCATTCATTGGTTGAATCAAAAGTTCAAATTTTCAATTTAATTCACCATTGAAAACTATTTCGCTATCTTGCTTCAGCAAATTTTGGAATCGAATCCAACAAATAGCCACTTCTAACGGCAGTCCTCAAATTAACCTTTTGACCTAACTCGATGACGCCCGAGTTAACCATTCAGATTTCCACCCTCTCCCGCGCTGGCATTTTTTTTTTTTTTTATCAGGTAGGGTTAAAAGGTTCGTTCAAGAAGGCTGTCGGTCTAATTTCAATAAGACTGTTTCTCTGGCGACTTCAATTGCTATGGCGTCGATACCAAGTGAAGTGACCTGCGAAACGAAACATTCCGATTTGTAATTTAATCCGATTCAGATTGGGAAATATAAAAACATTTCACTCTCACCTGAACTCGACGTCACCATAATTAAAATGTGGTATCCATTTCACAACTAAACTATCAACTGGGTTGTTGTTCTTATGTACAGCAACATTCTATAAGTAATATATTTTAGAAAAATAAGAATATGGAGATAAATGGAGTTTTATGCCCTACCGTTGTGCCTTGCTATCTTTTATTTGGTTATAGATATACAATATAGTACAATATACACAAAAAGTGCTTTAGGATTACACCGAAATGACATGATCCTTTAGCGACATTTAGGGGAAGAGATAACATTAAATAACAGAAAACAGTTTTATATGTATACTACTCATTAGTTTAAAAGATGACAATGTAGATTGTTGAAACGCCGAGTGCAATAAAACTAAGGAGTAGTATACCATAAAACTGTGTTCTGTTATTGAAAGAAATGAATGAAAGGAATGGAGTTTTACGAACTAGTTGGGCTAATAAGGACATGCAATGTGCAAGGGGGCCAATTTTGCCATGACAGCGGCATCAGTCTTCTCTTTTTCAATTTCTTCTATAACTGTCGAAGGATCTGTAACGTGTACAGCCTGTAGCAAACTGGGCCTCAGTTTATTTCCCCATTAAAACGACTAGAGGATTTCCTTGTGTTTGTTTTGACCTGCTACTCCATCCAAAAATTTTTGGTTATAGATACAAAATTTAAGAGCCATGCCCTAGGCTTATACAGAGAATTTGTAGCCATTTGTCTGTTTCGTGAAGCAATCATGGCACCTATGTTCCCCATACCGATAACCGTCCGACGCCTGTGATTCTCTGAGTTTCATTTTCTTGCAAGACAATACAAGGGCACTCACGCTCTTTCCACCAAAACAAGACAATGTCTTCATTTTTTCAATTTGTACTTCAGTAAACATTCCAAGGATTTCTTCACGATTGCCTGATTTCCGATGAGCACTGACTAAAATTCCTTGAAACGTCTTGTTAACTTGCTGTAGAGTCTCTAAACCAACTGAAATATTGTAAGCCTCTTCGATTATAATCATTATATATATATAGCTATATTCTACGTTTCGTGTTGTTTCTGAAAGTGAGTTTAATATACGTGATGCAGATTAACGTACGTGATGCATGCAGTGTAACGTACGTGATGCAGATTAACGTACGTGATGCAGAGTAACGTATGTGATGCAGTGTAACATACGTAATGCAGAGTAACGTACGTGATGCAGAGTAACGTACGTGATGCAGAGTAACGTACGTGATGCAGAGTAACGTACGTGATGCAGAGTAACGTACGTGATTCTGTGTAACATACGTGATTCTGTGTAACATACGTGACATTATGTAACATAAATGACTTTGTGAAACATGTGTGATCCTGTGTAACATACGTGATTCGTGACTCACCTGTAATGGTCTCTGATGGTTTATATGAAGCCGGATCAACTGTGATTTTAAAGGGGGGTGTTCCAGTTTGTTGTTTTTCTGCATTTTCATGTTTAGGGAACTGGGTTATACAAGTACTGGTAGGTGGTCCTTCAGCAAAACCTCTAACTAAATTAATATTAAGTTTAAACGACATTTGGGTGAAGAGATCATATTAAATTACAGAATTCACAATTTTTTTCTATGCTAATGCATGTTTTAAAATACAACATTATCATTATTATTTTCGCGACATTATAAATTGTTGAAAGGTTGTGCGTGATGCATATTAAAATTCGTGAGTAGTATTTCATGAAATTGTACATTTTCATAAGCATAACTGGATTCAAAATTAGTACACACAATCACAGACACCATAGAGTCAAGAGATCAGATAGACTTGACTTTCAATATAGGCCAGGAGCCGCGGTGGTTAATCCCGGCATAGGTTGAGATAATACCTTGGGATTTTCCAACCCCTGTCAACTGATGCAGGTCTGAATAAGCATATAGTTGTTCAAATGGAACTATAAACCGAGGCCCCATGTACTACAGCCTGTGCACGTTAAAGATCCCAGTTGGAAATTGAAAAAGGAGTATCTAAATGTCCCTGTCCTGGTAAAATTACCCTCATAGTACACTGCATGGTGTTGTCTGTCTTCATTAGCCCAATTAGTGCACAACAGAAGGACGTAAAACTCCTTTCATTTTATTTTCGTTAAAGGTCAAAGTTGAAAATGAAATCCAGAAAGTGGTCGATATAGTGATTCGGACTATTTTAAAAACAGGTCATAAATATAGTGTACAATAACAGTAACCTGTTCTACATATCATCACATTACTAGACAATAATAAATACTCCCAACTTGTGAATTTGTCACAAAATCCGGTTTGTATTTGATATCCTTCACTGATGTTTTGTCTATTCAAATTCTTTATTTTGCTGAATCACGGTAACCATACGAACCATCTTATCCTAGTAAGAAGCTTGTGACACTATAGCAGTTAATCACCATTGGTTGTCCCATAAAATTGTGATACGATAGCAGTGAGTCAGCATTGATTTAAACCTTCGTTTAAGACTAGCTATCAGACTGTGAAATGATAGCAGTGAGCCACCATTGGTCAGGTTGACCCAACTATTGCGATTTTAAAAAGGAGGAAATATTAAGAGACAATATTTTTCGAAACAAAAGATTCATCTTACCTGACTGAATAAACGAAACAAGGATCAGTGTGCAGATTCGAACCCGATACCCAGGGTACATCTTGACCTTTAGAATTGGTAAATTAGTTCAGCGTCACCTGGTTGATGAAAAAATTAACAACAAAATGTTTAAACATGTTAAAATCTGGTTAATTCCATATCAAATATAACCGACACAACGACCGGTGAAGGTCAACAAAATATATAGTAATAGGAAACTATTCTTAAACATCTTCTTGTATTACAACCCTGTTGATATATATTCTATTCTTATCATATTCACATCGTCACAGAATACGACATAAAGTATTTAATATACAATCCAACTAGTAATTACGGTCGCTTGTATTCAGAGCCACCTTCCAGTGAACAGCCACCAAAAATCAGCAAGTAAAAATTCGAACGATAACAACTTATATTCTAAAAACATTTAAGGCACTCTGCGACTGGATTTGTCAACTCCACATACATCAATACTATATGGAAAATACCTTTCTTTTGAATTTGAATTCATTTTTATTTCACTTTCATTTTGTTTTTAAATTCATTTCGTTTTTTATTTTACTTTCATTTTGTTTTTAAATTCGTTTTACTTTCATTTTGTTTTTAAATTCGTTTTATTTTCATTTCGTTTTTTATTTTACTTTCATTTTGTTTTTAAATTCATTTTACTTTCATTTCGTTTTTACTTTTTATTTTACTTTCGTTTTGTTTTTAAAATCATTTTACTTTTTATTTCACTTTCGTTTTGTTTTTAAAATA